ACAGACCCTGAGTGATCAAATGGGGTTTTTCACCCGCAACTTCTAGATTTTGTGTTGGTGATAAAATAATGTTAATAATTATTATTAGTCCAATGTCTATTCCACTGACCTTTGGAATACTATAGTTTAGCAACTGAGAATCATAAAAACGGAGACATCTTCAACAGTACTATGCAGTTGGTTAAGGGAAATTTTTAAATATTTTGGAAGAAGAGATTCAAAACTGTTAGCCGAAATAGGGGGGAAAAAAACTTCATAAAGATTACAGTTCTTAACTCTGTCCTATAATTGTCTTTTTAAATCTCACAAATGCAGAGAAAAATCTTCCATTCAACCCACCTCTTCCAGAGTAACTTAGGCTGCATCTCCCGCTGCATCTCTGATTAAAGTATTCTAAATCTCTAAGAGACCTCCAGAAAGCATTGAAAAGGTGCAAATACCTTAAGTTAACCTAAGTTACTTCACTCGGATGAGTGGGATAATGGAGGAGTCATGGGCAGTGTAGGTCTCCTCTAGTTGACCACCAAGCGCTTACCCTCTGACTCCTAAGTCAAAGAATCAGGCTCAGTAAACTGCTGAGCTTCTTTCCATAGTAGAATAATTACATAAAATATATTTTGAAAGTCAGCATTTGTTTATACAGTCTTTTGTAATAGCTTCCAGAAAAATAATTATAATCTTTGTGTCAAGCCTCACAAGTGCTTTGAACAACAAAAATGCCATGGGTGATAACATTACAATGATAAAGACATGCAGTGGTTTTTATCATTACAATGATAAAGACATATAGGGCTTGCTGGTCCTTGCCTTGCCACACCTTGCTCTGCAACAGAATCAATGAGAAATCACTTTGGCTACCTCTGTGTAGTGAATATTCTTTTAGGGCCATGTACGATGAAGTGAGATAATGTATAAAGTCACTTAGGGGTGGGAGTGCTTCTTAAATACAGACTGTCATATGATAAGGCCATACTTAGCATAGTAGGTACGGTGGGGGAGGAGGCTTCTTCTGCACTGTAATGTCACTAGACTAGTTTCTTATAAGTAGCACTTGATTTTTACAATTCAACTAAATATGATACAAACTCATTACCATAAGGTAGACCCTGTTAGTCAATTACATGGCATAAGTTATTGTTTAGTTATGAACCTATAACTGCAATTATTGTTCTGTTATAATATTTAAGGCTACCCAAGGTTAAGGAAATATTTCCTGTGTCATTGTCTTGCACCTCTGAACCTTAAGACACCTAATATTGTATCTTTCTCTGCAGTAAAGTAGAGAACATAGATACCTTTATCATTTTATTTTTATCTTATTTTGTTTTTACTTCACTTCCAAAAAGGGTTTGAGGAAGACCACAGGAACTATATGATATAATATCATTGTTATTATCATAATTCTTTCAGTTCTAAAATTGTAGCCTTGTTTGAAAAATTACTCAGAAGAAGGGTTACTAATAAAGAAAGTTGTTAGACTGGATTCTCTAAGAGCCTTTAAATAGATTAAATCATGATCTTACTCTGGAATGGCCTTTTATGATGAAATGAAATTTCTTTAGGACAGTTATTTTTGAAGGATCACTCTGGTTGATCCTTTGATCCTATGGTTCTTGGGAACAGAGTATTACTATGCCTAGTTAATATGACAATATTTTCTGTTTTCTGACATACTTGAATAATTATTTTCTTGTAATGCTTTATTCTTTGTGAATGGCTCACAATTGCTTTTCACTCTGTAAATATTTATTTTTAGTCTACAGAATAACAACAACAGAAAACATTTGAGTACTTCTATGTGCTGAGTACTATTTTAAATACTTTGTGAATGACATATTAGCATTAACTCATTTAAACATTTAGATAATCCAAGGGCTTTTTATTTTAGATATGCCCTGTAGTGATCATATTTATTTATTTGATTCACTTAAGCCAAGGTTTGCTGCAAATTATATATGGACACACAATTTTAGCAAAACAATTTTAGCTTCATAATACCAGCTACAATCTACTGTGTGTCAGGTACATCCTATGCACTTTTATATAAAGTATTTCATTTAACCCTCACACTAACACTAAAAGATGAGTATTATATCTCCATACTACAAATAATAAAACTAAGTTTCAGAGAAGAAGCTTGCTATGAGCTGGGACTCAAACCTGGCTCTAAACTTCCAATCCTACTATGTAGTGAAGAATTTTATTCCTTCTCCCCAAAATCATATGCAAGTGTTTGTTGTATCCTTTAAGATATGGAGATGAGAACTGATTTCTGTACACAAAAACATGAACTGTTCCAGAAAGCTTCTCAAAAAGTGACCACAGAACTGCATGCAGAGAGGGACAGAGGTTGATATTTTAGCTGACTGTGTTATGCAGAAACAGCATTATTTGGCACAGAGCATGGTGAAGACTAGAGGCACAGGAATGGACTCAACAATCCAAAAGGTTTTATTTACAAAAGCACCAAAAAAGTAACAAATTAAAAACTCTCATACTTAAGCCTTCACTTGTAGGAGCCTTTAGGTCATGGACCTCAGACATTGGCTTTAGACACGAGCGGAAGAACGTAAGACAGAAATGGTGCGACTTGGTACCTGGGAACCTAGGATACAGGCTCCTCCTCAAGAAAGGTTCCCAGGACTGGTCCCCAGGAAAGTGGAAATGGTGCAGATGACACGGTGCGGGGTCGCCCAGACAGCACTAGGGTGTGCAGGTGCAGCCCTACAGCTCTGAGCAAGGTCAGATCAATCAGGGTTCTTCCAGTCCATGTCTAGTTGTTTCTTCCTGTTGCTTTACATGCTGACAAGAGGGATTTTCTGTTCTCTTTAATGTTTATACAGAACCTCCCACCCTGGCACCATATTACTTTACTAGTAACAACTCACAGAAATGCTGGGGGTAGGAGGAAAAAACTGGACTACGCTCAGTTTTAACTAGTCTAAAGTAGAGATTCATTCCTACCTCTGGCCTAAAATTAATATATGGCTGGATAGTTAACCAGTTTCTGCTCCTGCCTCCTTCCCCATGGATTGGGAAAAGTTGTGTTGTTTTATGGAAATGTTTTCAGTAGTCCTTGGCAAACTGACTTGAAATAATCTGGCTGTTTTGCATTACACATGTAAATGATAAACAAAGATGACTTCCCATGTATGCAGCATTTTCCCAGTGTTATTTTCCATGATTTTCTGGTGAATTCATATAGGAATATACCACGGTAAGAAAATGCTGAAGATGACTGTCTCTAATGCTACAATCGCTCTCTGGGGTTTTTTTTCCTCCAGGTACTGCTAAAGGTAAAAAAAAAAAAAAAAAAGCAAATTCTGCTTCAGCCACAGAGGGTTGGACAGATGAAGCCCCAGGGGACCCTAAACAGGAGCAAGTTTGCACAAGCCTATCCTGTCAAAGTGTCATTTTGGCCCTATGTAAAGCAAAACAGACGCTCAGTGTGAAATACAGAAGGAAGAACCAGAACTAACCCAACACCATCAAACACTGTGCCTTTAATCCCCTATCAGCCTGTGTTATCCCCTCTGTGCCTTACTCATCCTTTCCCATGTCTCTAATTAATGTTTGCCTAAAGGAGATGGTGGTTCTGGGCAAGGGAAATGAAAACTACAATTCTATACTCTGCACAGTTCCCCAGTACACACCACGTGGTTCACAAAAATAATAACAGCAGTCATCATGAAAAGTGGCAACATGGTTTTCCAACGCATCTTACGGTTCTCCCTCCACCCCTCTTCTTTCCTTACTCACCCCCAAGGGAGTCCATCTGCTGCCGAAAATGAATGTGAGGCACTAGGACCAGAGAGCCCTTTCCTGCTATTTGCTTGAGAAACAAAGCCTTCCCTCCTCCCAAGTTGAAAGAAATAAAGGAGTCTGAACTAATCAAAACCTGCAAGCCTGCTGGTGGAGCTTCAGCTTGTCAGTGGTGCAACTCAGCGGAGTGAGTAACGGCTTCGAGCTTTGCAGAAAACGAGAGAGGGAGAGAAACAGAGACAGAAACACAAAGAGAAAGAAAGACATTATCCTGGCCAGGAGTCAAACAGGTGCATGGGGCCCGAACGCTGAGAAGAGTGTCTGGCAAACATGGGATCCAATGGGGTGCGTGCCTCTGTGGAGCCACGTCTTTTCTACGGGGGACAATGTTTGCAGTTCGTATGTCAGGGTGTACTGAGAGGTTTATTTTCTTATTCATGGGACTCATGCGGTCGGCTGAGGGCCTTCAACTTTTCTCTACTTGTCAGTCCGAAATGTTCATGAACACTTTCGGGCTCTCTATGACGAATCTCCAGGACAGAAGGGCAGCCAGGTCATTTATCACATGCCTTTCCACTGGGAGCCATACATTTCTGCGGGGCTTTCGGAACTGTGGAACTGTGGCCAGTGGGCGGCCGGGCCAAGGGGGACAGCAGTGTGTGTTTGCTTCACAGAACGGCCCCCTCCATCTTGAGCTGGCTGCTCAGAGGCCACATAGTGCTTTTTAAGACTCTTCCAGGCCTCACTGCACTTCAAATGACTAGTTTCTGACAAAGATCCTAAGTTTGCAGGTGCTCTCTCTTGGAAGGCTGGACTCCTGGGATTTATAAGCCTTTAGGAATGGAGGGCTGTGCCATCAATCTGTAATTAGGTTTATAGGCAGATGTTAGGAAAGAAAGGAATACAAGCAGAGGAAGGCCTGGCATAAGACCCTCAGGAGAAGGCCCTAGTTATGAGACCCACCCAATGGGACACGATTGATTCAGCAGGACACTAACAGGGTGGCATTAAATATCATCTTAAGAAAATTATGCCATCTCTGGTGGAGTTTCAGTCTCTTGACTTAAAAATGTTTGAGTGTTTGATAGTCCCATAATTCAGAAGACCCAGTTTGCCAGTTGTCATACCCTTGCCCACATGTCTCTAATAGAGAGTTACTGTGAGTATGGATAAGACAGGCTCAGCCATCCCACTCCCCCCGGATCCCTGTAGGTTTTTAGTTAAAGCGCGGTCTTTACCTGAAATGCGCCTGGGCACATCGGTGATGGCAGGAAGCCCGGTGCCCCGTGTGGAAGACAGCGGGGTGGTGGAGTGGATGGATGGGGACGTCATCTGGCTCAGGTAGGAGGGGTATGATTGGTCATAAGACCACGGAGGGGAAGACTGTGCCTGCCTGGGGTCTAGGAAAAAGAAGAAGAAAAATCTTTAGCGTAACAACCACTGCAGCCTTGGAAACATACAACCCAAAACTTAGAAATAATAAATCAGGAAAAAAAGAGAATATATAAGGAATGACTATTTATCTCCTACAACCCCATGCTTTCAGGCCCTGAACAGCACGAAGCCTTCTAGACTTCAAGTTGCAAAGAAAGCAACAAAATGGATCATGCATAAGGACTATTTGTTTCTCTCTCACATAAATATTTCTATTTGGAAAGTCTAACAGTCATTTAGAAAATCAGCTTATCTTTACAGCATGGGATATTTTATTTATTTTTCTGTATTCTCTAAATTCCTCCAGTGAACATGGATTACTTTTTTTTAAGTTAGAAAATTTTTGAACAGTTAACTTAGTTACATAACATGTACACTATGCCATTTCCTGCTGTATGTCCCACTACTCTTTTTCAGACATGCTTTTTGGTTTGAAAGTACATACTTCCATGATTTCGGCACGGTGCCCTTTCTTTTCAGGCAGGTCCATGAAATGGCAATTTCTAGTATAAGGTGGAGGGTTAAGGGAAAAGGTTAGGGATGAGAATGGAGGAGGCAGTATGTAAGATGAATAGAAAGGTAACTGCCATTAAGAACTGAAAAGCTTTGCCACCAGCCAGTCTCAATGTTAAGTATAAGAGTTTCTAACAGTAAGAAAATGCCCCAAAACAGGAAAACAAGGAAATGTTTATAATCCTATCAAAATCTGTCTAAAAGATGTCACATGTTTAGAAATTGTCCTAGTATCACCTACAGTCATTGTAATAATAAAAAATAATGGGCAATCAACTGACTAGGGTTAGTGAGTTGCTGAACATTAACGATATCTTTTGATGTATCTCTGTGGAGTTTCTTAGATGAACAAACTCAAGGCCAAGTAGATTTATGAAAAGACCTTCAGTCTACATAAGAAAGAAAGACAAATGTGTTGTGTGCTTCCAAGGTGAAAAGTATGTATTTCAAACTATTTAGCTCTTACTTGAGGGCCAATCAAACAGAATCATAAGCAAATTTCTCTTAACAAGTGTTTTATGCTAATTTAAAAAATTCCAATAGATCAGGCTGTTGACAGGATAGTTTGATATATTAGAATATGCATAAACTTTGAAATGTTCAGAATTAGGTTCAAGTTCTAAGTCTTCTATTTTCTGTGTGATCTTAGCTTAATTAGTCGTTCTGTGCCTCCATTTCTTCATCTGTAAAAGGCAGGGAAAGAGGGAAAGCAATCATACCCGACAGGGATGTGAAAAATCACATGGGAAAACTATTAAGAGAAGTCTAGCACAGAAAACACTCAGTAAGTAATAATTCTTATCTTAAAAAGAAAAAAAAAAATCTCGTGGTGACATAGGGATAGTTCCATGTTTAAAACATTATCTGAGCTACAGTTAATATGTTTGGAATAGGTTTAGTTTTTCTTACTTTTTATTTTCTTTGTAGAGACACAGGGTCTTGCTCTGTTGCCCTGGCAGGAATGAAGTGCTGCGATTCTAGCTCACTGCAGCCTCAGACTCCTGGGCTCAAGGGATCTAACTGCTTCAGCCACCCAAGTAACTGGGACTACAAGTGTGTGCCACCATGCTCCCCTAATTTTTAAATTTTTTGTAGAGATGGGGTCTCACTGTGTTGCTCAGGATGGTCTCAAGCTCCTGTCTTCAAGTGATCCTCCCTCCTCAGCCTCCCAAAGTACTGGGATTACAGGCATGAGCCACAGAGCCTGGCCCCGGGATAGGTTTAAAATTATCCCCTCATCATCTATTACTCTTGGAAATAAAAAGCTTAATTTTCTAAAACTGTTAATATATTTGAACAGTCAATTCAAGTTTATCTCTTAAAGTAAAAATGAGTAAAATAAGATGGGTTTTTTTCTGAGATGATTCCTCTGTTAAGGCCTCTGTTTTTCTATACAGTCAAAGCAGTTCAGCTATTTCTTGTTTATTTGTTCAATTCAGAAATAATTTATTTAAAGATTGTCTAAATAGGATAAACTTCCTTGAGTCAAAATAATTAAATACATCTGGACATTTATCTAATGTTTACTGACATCAACAGATATATAAAGAACTGTCATCCAATTCAACTTTAAAGAACATTTACCTGAGTTTGCAATTTGAATAAAAATGTAGTAATGTAAATGGTAAACAAACTTTTCCTTCAGAAATATAAAGGGTACTTGATCATTAAAGTCATATACTTCTGTGCTTTAAAACTCTCAAGGCTGAGATTGTATAAATTGGCAACATTTCAAATCTGAGTGACTGGTCCTTGTTATATATCTGATATTGACATACTTCCTTGCCTTACACCATTAATGTAATTCACTATTCAGAGAAATGGTAAATGATCTTCAGATGGAAAAAGATTCATTCCTTACAGCACAGAAAAGAAATCTCATGAAGCCCAGGCCTTTATTCAAGCAAGATTTTCAAAAAACAAATAGGACAAGACCCACATAGCTAAATAAGTTGGGCACATGGGACTCAGATTTGGATTTGAGTTCTAATTTCACCAGATGACTTCCTGAGCAAGTAGTTTAACCTGTATGTCCATCCTTCTACTAAAGCATGTCAGTAAAGGGTCCCCTGCCTAAAAAACAGAAAATAAACTACACAGAAATATAAAGAATGACTAAAAGGAAGTAGAGAACTTAGATGTAAGACATAGTCTTATGGTTCTCATGCAGAGAGGCAGCTGGGTACAGTGAGAAGCAAACGGACTTTCCAGTGAGAGGTTCTGAGCTGGAGCCCCAGCTCTGCTATTTATAAGCTATATGACCTCATCTGAGTTAGCTAACTCTCTGAATCTCAGTTTCCTCATCTGGAAGATGAGGCAGCATAACACTGCATAGTGAATACATTTAGCAAAGCAGTCATGCAGTCTGGCTGTGCAGACAAGCCTAGGCTTGAACACATCTCCCTACTGTGCTAAGCAAATCACTAAAACTTTGGAGTCTCTGTAGCTCATCTATAAAATGAGAATAAGGATACTTATTAGAGTTTTTATGAGCATTGTGTGCACTAGGCCACATCTGATAAGGTATCTGGCACTCTTAGCACATATTAAGTATATGATAAATAGAACTGCTATCTGTAAAATGAGTACAATAATAACTACTGCCGTGTTTGTTTGGAAAATTAGATGAGATAATGTAGGCAAAGTCATTTTGATGACTATAAAGTACTATATTAAAACTATTTTTATTCTCTTTAGAGTTCACATGGTCAAGCCCCTGTCATGTGACCTGGGATGTGTTTCTCAATGTTGCTGAGTTTTAATTTCCTCAGCTGTAAAATGGGAATGATAATACTATCTCAAAGAGTTGGAACCTCAGAGTGAAGATTAAATAATATACAGTGAATGGCACATATCATTATTACAAAATGAATAGAAATCTGACTCTACACTAAGTAGCTGGTTTTGCCTAGTGTCGTTATTCTTAAAGATTTCCAAGATCAGATGCAGTGTAATTAAGTATAAGGACTGGCACCTAGTGGGTACTCAATAAGCAACTACTGAATGACCCTCCCGGGTGGCTTGAATGAATAATGCAATATTAAAATGAAGTCATAACTAGTTATTCTCTAATTTCTTCTTAGGCTATCAAAGAGGCTTATATCAGTGAGGTTTTTAGGTTTTTACATAAAATTCCTGACTGCCAGAGCATATACTAGAACAGTCTATTAAAGGATAGTACTGCTTTTAGTGGTGGCTCTTCCTGAAGATATCCAAGATTAGGAAAAATAACTTCTCACTATCCCTAAACAAGTAAGATTTTTTTGTGTGTGTCTTTCAGAGAACAGGCTACAGTCCAGCCAATCTTTCTCAAGGTTGCTGTCCTATGTATCTATGATAATAACATTCACTTAAAGAGAAAGAGTTACTAAATAAAAATAAGATATAAAAACTGCCTTATGGAGTTGACTAGATCTGGTATACGTAATTGTAAAGAAAGGACAGCAACCTTAAAAAAAGTACCAGTCTCCAAACACTTCCATGCCTTCTCTTAAACCCTATGAATGAAAAATTATCAATCCAGGCTCCATTATTTCTGGACTGTGTGACTGGACAAATTACATAATGTGTCTAAGATTCAAGTGTCCTCATCTGTAAGATGGGAGTGGGTAAGAATACCTCCTTCACAATGTTGTTATTAAATTAAATGTTAAAAGATTAAATGAGATAATGTAATAAAAAGATTAGCACACGGAAAGACCCAAATAAACATTTCCCACAATTAAAAACTCTACCTGTACTGAACTTTCAGTCTGCATTTGTTTCCAGTCTTTAATCTCTTTTTCTAACAGAGGACAATTTCTAGAGCATTTCCTTTGCAGTTCCCAGTATAAAGACTATATATCTGTGTTAGTCATGATGACATCCTTTTACAATCGCTTAACCTTAATCATATGCCTTCTTAAGTCTTGATTTCTTCCCAAATCCAGAAATCTTAATCTTTTGGGTGTATTTTCAAATACTGTACACATTAACCTTTTCAATTTTTAGTGGGGAAAAAAATAGCCATAAAATATCTTGACTTTCTAAATGCTCAGTCACCAAGAAAACATAATCCAATCATAAATATATGCTTGCAGCATATTTGCTTTTTATGGACAATTATTAATGCTAACAGTAAAGTCACCTTAACCTGATCTCATACACCATTTCTGAACTCAACTTCCTGAAGAAACCTGAGACTTCTGAGATTCACTTTTAAATTGGATGAGTCAGAGCAGGTGACAGATGTTTTTAGGCATCACCGGTCAATCCCAAACTTATTAATAGGGAAAATACAGGGCCTAGCTCTGAGACAAACCTACTAATTAACCATTAACAAACAGGAAATTGTCTTCATCTCAACCTCAGGTCCTACAGAGCAAGGATAAACACCCAGCACTCTGCCCCATTCTGAGGAATATGGAATTATTTTTCTTTTCAAATCTGCAGAAACATGCAGGAAAGTACCATG